ATGTTGGGTGTTAAGTTTTGTCAAGAGAGATATTGGAAAAAAAATGCAAGTAAAGGCACAGTTCTTTTTGAACATATCTTCAAAAGTGATTAGTAGTTCTGTTTCCCACTGCAGAATGGGGGTCCATTCTATATGAATTGAAGAAGCTGAACATTTACGCCAGTAATTTCCAGGCTTCATATATCCTAGCAAGCCGTGGGAAAAACTGCTGGTGATTTGTGAGGCATAAAAGTTCCTTTGAATCTAAACTTCACACACAGAGGCTGCAGCCCACTGTTCTTGGTTTGATTTACTAGAGTATCTTTCCCTCCTCCCAGTAGGACAGCATTTGGAGCAGGTCACAAATAACTTTCAGAACTTCTAAGAATCTTAGAACTTAGTTTTAAGAAGCAGTGATGCCATAGCATGAATTGTTCTCATTTGACTTAATGTTTGCACTTTTTTTTTTAAACTAGCAATACTTTTTCCACAGTTGAGTAATAACCTTTTTCCACAGTTGAATTTCTATTTGAATGTTTGTGTCTTCAAAATACCTAAACTTACTCTGGAGCAACAGCAGTACCTTAGGAATGCTGCTTTTCTGCCCTTCTGATTTCTGGATTTCACAGATCCTTGTGCACATGTGTAGCTTGTCATGGCTTTGTTTTGTTGGTTCAAGTCCTTTTGCCCCTTCTACTTTACCAGTATTTACAAGATGCTGATAAAACACAGGGTGAGAAGGTTTCTTGATATGTTTGTCTTTTCAAGTGCTTATACATTATGTTTTATACCAATGATCACATGTGTGCAGTGTGTATTAGTATTTAAAAGAATCAATAATAAATATAATCAAACCTGTTGTAAATTGTGCATGCACCAATTTCAGAACTAATTTTGGAAATGCTGTATGCTGAACAGGAGGAGGAAATGTGGAGCTACATTTTTGGAGAAACAAACCAAACCAGGGAGCTCTTTACATCTCTAATTTAAACATGTTTACGGTGTATATGTCTAAGAATGCCAATGCTATGCTCTGGAAGCCTCTGTCCCAGGGTTATATAGGCATACTTTATATTCATAGAAATCTGCATTGTCGCACACTTCCTTAGATAATATAACAGCATCTACTGCAGTGCTTTCATTTTTGAAGTTTTCTAGGTATTTTTAGGTTAAGTATTCACCTTTGTCAATTAGAATTTCAAATTGCTAAGAAGTGTAAAATTTCATGTGGGAGGTGAAGGTGACAAGAACTAGATCGGAATTCTGACAGGAATAACAGTGTCATTATTAGGGTTAGTTTTGAAGAGGCTCTAAATGAGTTACAAATGCATTATTTGTAATAAAGAAACAAATGTATTATTAATTCATGTAGTTCATGTGACATTAACTGCAGACTTGAGTTGATCTGAACTCTGTGCACTTTCACTCAGAAATAAAACTGACAACCAGCAACATCTGCATGAACTTAGGACTAATTTTAAAATGCCAACTGCCCTGACTTGAGATGAGATTTTTGGCTCTGCTCCTAGGCCATGAAACCCAGGAATACTTCCCCTTCATATGCCTGCAGTGGTGTCTCTGTTGCATATTTACAGGACTCAGTGTTCAAAGTTAATTGTGTAGTTAGTATGATCCTTTATTTTGAAAATTAAGAGTTTCCTGTCCAAACCTTGTATTTTAAACAATAGTTGAAAAATTACTCTGTCAATACACAGGAACAGTTTTATCTTACTTGACAATCAGATCAGTTCATCCTAATTATGAATAATTATTTTAATATGTGTATCCTGTCTTTCAGTATCTAATCCCAGAGCACTGAACAATACTAGAATTTTAAAAAATAACTGGAATCAATAAAACAATAAAGGCCTAGCAAGAGCAGAATAAAGCTAGTTTTGGAATTATTTTAAATGAACAGCCTGGCAAAATAAAAGGTCTTTATCTCCCATCAAGAGGATATGGATAGGCACCAGGCAAGCCTTCCTAGGATGGGCATTCCAATGGCTACAAGCAAAAATATCTTACTTCGGATTACCACCCGTCTAATCTCAGAGGACAGGGTCTCCCAAAGAAGAGCCAGCAAAAATGACTTTAATGTATGGTCAGGTTCATGTAGGAAAAGTGGAGTCCACTGAAGTTGTTAAGATGTGTTCTGTTCTGCTGCCCCCAGTTAGTCCAAAACACAGTTGCTTGCTAAAACAGCCCAACCTTCTAATATGATCTCCTGGTGCCCCCTTTTTTTCCTTTAAAGAAGCCATGTGGGCAGGGGTAGCCGTTTATATTTTCCCATACCAGGTTACAGATCTGAAGATCGCTTTGTTTATACAAATGCAACATGTGGCAAACTGTTAAAGCTGTTCAAATGTCCTGATTCCGAGAGGCAGTAATTTCTTAAGTTAGACGCTATTTGCAAGCCTGTATTAGATGACTCTAGTCAAATTCTTACCAAGATCATAAACCTGTGTTTGGTTGTACTATTCCAGACTTCAAAGGGGGGCTCACTTGCCTGAATGTTTCTTTATACAGACTATATCCCTGCATAAAGAAATCTAGCATGCCCAATTAAATGCTTCATATAAGTAGCTGTACATAATGAATTTCCATTTTCTCGGGCACACACCTAAATGGATGTTCTACGGCAGGAATTCCTGCCATACAACCCATTAATAGAAAAAATATAAAACATTAAATCTTAAAAATGAAAAGGGCTGGTGTGTTGTATAAGAATATGAATTACTCATACCTGCTACATCTCTGCATAAGTCACTGTTCTGGGGCAGCTTCCTGTAGACATGACAAGAAGTAACTACCTCTGCCAGTGGGTAATTCTGAATGACAATTTAATGAACAGCTACCTCTAGTAGCTACTTTGGGCTTCCTGAAAGCTTTAATTATTTAATTTGTTCTGAACCTATTTGGGAATTAGTGCGCTAAATGCAAGGGAAGGAACTGAGCAATGAGAAAATGAATCTATAATTCCAGTACATGGATTTCATGAAATTTGTGTGGCCAAACATCCCTGGCACATAGAATAAAAATATACAAAGATAAAAGCATATACATTGTCCTGAATTAAAATTGCCTTAATTTCATTCTATAATCGTAACCTGCCCAGAGCCTATGGGAATGGAGCAGTATATAAGAATCAAAATAAAATACAATAATTCATGTTAAATGCCAATACCAAAATAATTAAAATATGAAATATGTACATGTTCTCTCACAAGTTATGAAAGTTAGAGCTGCAATACAATACTGGATCTTGTTTTAATAGTGCCAGCTAGTGCAGCTGTCTTGATCTGCAAGAATTAAAGTCACACAAACAGAAGCTGGTCATACTGAAATATATAACAATAGGAGAATTATCACCTAATTCCTTAGATCTTTATAGAAGATATAAAATAATAATACTTGAGCTACGGTTTCAGTGCTGCCAGCTCCACATGGACATAAACAATTATTCAAAGGGAATCTTTTAAATCCACCCTCAAGAAGAGCTGATGGCAGTATATCCAGTATTGCATAAATGAAAGCTTGTCTGTCTTTTAAAACCTTTCAGCATTGTAAGTAAAATGATAATGTATTAAAAGACCTAGATGGAGAATAGCAATACCATGGGGCAGAATTTTCTTTCAATAACCAAATTATTCTGTTATTTAATATCATGTAAGCATTGTCTAATTAATTCTTTTGCTTTGGCAAATCCTAACATTGTGGTGATAAAATGGAATAATGTTTTGAGATGATAAATATAATCCAGCTGCTCTCAGGGGAATCTTGCAGAATCAACGAGAGCAATCCAGTGGGAGTTAAGTACAGCTGAAGTGAGAAGTTAAGCATCCCACACCAGACCTGTAGATTGATGGAAGGGAGATTTGCTTCCAAGTGCAACAGAGCATTTGGAACATGACATAATAGGAAAAAATGTCCTAAAAACTTGATTGAACAGCTTACACTTCTTTGGAGTAGGCATCCACCCAAATTTGGGCCCTATCCATTTGCTGTGCTAAAGATCTGACCCTAAAAGGTTTGTGTGGTAGGGATATGTAGTTGCCCCCTTTTGCATGGAAAAGCATATTTCTCATAGGCTAACCAAGACCCTGTTAACTGAAAAATCACTCTGAGGTATTTAATGACTTTAACATGTTTAATTAGCTTGTTATCCACAAACTATCTGTAACCCCTGTGTTTTCTAGGGAGCATAATAGCCTTAGTTTTATTGTAATTCACAGCAAGGTGTTTTTCAAACAATACTCAGAATATGCCCTTGGCAATCTTCTTAGAGCCACTTTTGTTTGAGAGAGAAGTACAATATCGTCTGTGTACAAAAGGATGGAGTTTGGTTTTGTAGCCAGTTTGGAAGAATGAAACACTGGAGATGTTAATTTTTTGACAATATTTCTATATAGAATAAGCAACTAAATGCCATTCAAGAGCCAGAATACAGACTTATTTGGCTCCCTTTGTGACTAGCACAGTTTGTGCAAGTTGTCTTTCATCACACCTTCAGCCAGGTGTTATTGTATAAATGTATAAACATATAATCAAAAAGAGAAGTCTCTTATTTGGAGGGGGGTTAATTTATAGTCTTGTATGGAAAGTTGAGTCAAATGCTGCTTTCAGATCAGTGAAAGCTGCATATAACCATCTGGTTTCCTAGCATATTGATCAATTAAATGGGCTAGGACAAAGCAGTGATCCACTGTGAATCTTCCTTGTCTGATCCCTGCTTGCTCATCAGCCAGGATAGCTTCATCCGTTATCCATTGTTGTAAAAATGCCTTTCATATAATTTACTAATTGGACATAGCAAACTAATTGAGCAATAGTTTGCTGGATTAGATATAGGAACTTTTTAAAATACAGGGACAACTACTACTGTGCCCCAAGTTTCAGGCAGTAACTGCTGAATCAGTGATTGAAAATAATCCCACCAGAAGGGGCATTATTGCTTCTGTAGAATTCCTGATTTTAATGCTGTGCTCCTTTCTCTTCCCCCATCCCTTCTTCTGCCCTTACAGGTTATGTGTTCTGCATGTTGCATCGCCTGCCTGAACAGCATGATTGCACATTTGATCACATGGGGCGTGGGCGTGAAGAAGCCATTATGAAAATGGTGAAACTGGACCGGAAAGTGGGGCGATCATGCCAACGTATTGGCGAGGGCTGCTCCTGAGTTGCAAGACTCTCTACAACCAAATGCCGTTCTCTTAGTTCACTAATGTTAGCCTTATTTAGGACAAAGTCAGCCAGCCACCTTGTACTGGGCAAGTTTCAGACTACAGCCAATCAATTTCCTTTCTTTAGCCAACCATCCTGGTACTGTAGTTTAGGGGTTAATGGTGATTGACATTGATTTCTGGCTGGTTATTAAGGTGCCTGCTAGCCACCGTATTAAAAAAATGAAATATTTTTGAGCATGGCTAGTGGATTTTAACAAAAAGCTAAAGACTTCTATTATTGCAGGAGTCAAGCTCTTTAAAAAAGCCTTATGCTGGTAAGCTTCCAGCAGCTGAGTAGAAACGGATGTAAGAGACTGCTATGTGCACACCTCTCTCAAAGAAAGTACCCATAATAATCTGCTTTTCCTATCCTCATGACTAGCTAACTTTGAAGGGGTAAAACTCTGCTTAGAGCAGGCAGTGTAGCTACTGAACCTAGAAGACTTAAATGATCACTTATGCCATTTTCACCTGTGTCTTTTGAGGTTAGGTAGCATCACCAGCATCAGGGAATCTCGGGGCGGGAACGTCTTTCTGGGAAGTCAAATGGAGGGGGACAGGTTCTTATGACAACTTTTATATTAAACACATTACAGGGAAACTGTTTATTTAGGTGGAGGAGGAGGATCTTGCTTTCAAGTTAGCTCCATTCTGGAACAAGCAGTGAACTGTGTGCATTTTCTACACAGCATCTACAACATTTCTTAAGCCGTGTGATTGAATTCCATATGCCAAGCATTGTGGCTGTTTCCCATCAGCCCAAACCTGATTGGCTCTTGTTTGCCTTTTGCTAAGTGCAGGTATCTGATAATTGATCAAATAAGGCTAATTCACAGCACAGTAGCCATGGCTGGATCCTACAGACCAACTTTCTGTAGCAAGTTGTTTATTGAGGGGTAAAGGACATTTTGTAGCAAACGGAATTCAGTAACAGTATTGAGGAACAACCAGGAAAACACCCCTTATTGAATGGAGTTTGTATGCCTCACTTCTAGTATGTTAAGGAGATAATCAAATGGGCTGTTCCAGCCTTGTTACTATGCAGCTTGGTACTCTCAGTGAAGGTCTCTGCCCATCATCTGTTGCAAAGCTAGTGATTGTGAAATGCATTGCATAGAACTGGGATTCTCCAGATTGGTTATTTAGAACTACAGTTCTGTTTTGTAGTCTGTCAATCTTGTTGAGGCAAACTGCACCAATTTTTAATGTGCAGTGGCAGAAAAATAGTAGTGTCTGCCTCCAGCTACAGGCAAGGTTTCTGTAGGAAAATGAACTCATATTGATGGTGGCCTAGTATGGAAATTATACCCCGCAAACCAGTTAGTGCTCCATTAGCAATTAAGAATTAGGTATATAGTGGGAAGGGAAGGGGGGAGGGCTGCTGGAGGAAGGATGAGGGTTAATTGTCTCATACTTTCACAAGTAGGTTACCCAAGCCACCCAAAGAGTGAATTACCCTCATGTCACTCTAAAAAAAAAGAAAAAAGTTTGGGGTAGAGCAGTTTAAATAAGTTAGTGACCGTTCCATTTGTGCTGAAGGTAAATTACTGGTTTAGGGGCTGAATTGTATTTACTCTGGCAAGTGACGTATGCTCAGCCTTTGGCTGTATTACAGCAATGCAAATTAGTAATGAAGTAAATATTCCACCATTCTAAAGTTCAGTATGGAAAAGCCATTCTGTGTTGTACTCAAGGCTTTGAAATCGGCAATGGAATTTCCAGCTGCATATTCTGTTTCCTAAGGAAGTGTTCCCCTTCCATCTACATGAGGGGGAAATCAGACAATTTTCTTTGCGTTTGCCATGAAGAGTTAAAAAAAACATGGACTTCAGCTGCTGCCGCGCTATGCACTTTCTTCCCTTCTAAAATCCTAGCATAGCATTTGATGGACATTCTGATTGATACACAAGACTTTTGCAGATTAATAATGAAGACGCTGTTTTCCCTTGTTAATCCTTTCTTTAGCCCTGTTACAAGTGCACAGTTGGTTTCAAGGTGGCTTTTGAGCAAACACTACTCAAAGTTCATGTGGATTATGGACAATGTTCACTTTAAAAAGAAGTGTGGGGGTTGTTCCTTTGCAGTATCTGTTCTGTGAAGTTTGTTAAACGTAAAGAAAGCTTAAGTTCTTGTATCTTTAAAGAAAATCTTATTTAACCCTTTTTTGTGTTCTAGATTTACTTACACATGTAGCCTAGAGCTCAGTTTTAGTTTAACATTGTGAAAATATTAAAAAGGATTGTAATTCTTTTTCCTCCTGCTTAAAAGAAACAAAACCATTAAACAGATCAGATTAAAGTTTGACTTCTCCGAGTTTTGCAGTAAGTATTGCTCTTCAGCACAAATCCATGTTACAGCTTGATAATTCTTTTTAAGCAGCTGCATGTGGGGTAAAGAGGTATGATATTGCCATCACCATTCCATAGGTTTAAATCTAGCCATTCCCTGTCTATTATGTTGGGACAACCACTTCAGATTGGGAAACTTGGGGTACAGGTAAGCCAAAACTGAGTGTTTAAGGGCACAATCCTGCGGATGCTAGGCATGCCAGCAGGGGGAACACTGGCAGTTGAAGAGCCTTTACCGCTATAGGATTGCAGCCTAACTCTTTCCATTAAGAATAATGCTATCTAATGGTAATTAGTTTTAACTCTGGCATTTTGTTCCTTGTGCAAGAGTGTTGAGCATTCCTAAAATTAGTTACTTTCAGGAATCAGATAGACACTTAGGTGTCTACACACTTGCATCATTGCTGTAGCAGAAAAATCCAGTATGTCCTCTGTAGCAGATGTTCTCAACTCATTTTAGCAGCAGCTTCATCACCTGAAATTTAATCCTGTGCCTGGAATTAGATTCTCATGTTTATTAAATGTATGCATGACTGAATGCAAGTGAAGCAGCCCAAGTTAATTCCTTTAATTTTCATTTGGATTTTGAAATGTCCCTTACAAAAGGAAGCCCATACACCTGCACTTATAAACAAAGGTGTATGCATATAGCTTTTTCTATATAGAAACAGTGCAGTCTGAACTGTCAATGTTTTGTTGTATTCCAACAAAGGAAATAAAGATATTAAGAAGAATGCTCCCCATTAATTCCCTTTATTCTTTGCTCTTCTATAGCTGTTGGTTGTTATTTTAGTGATTTGATATTGATGTTAATACATATAGAACCTGGTGATTCTGCAAATATGAAGTATACCTCTAGAACAGATATTTTCTTATGTGCTCTGTTAACTTTCATATCATGAGCATAACAGTCCAGAAATATCATACAGTGACATTGAACAGTTGAAGGCCATCTTGTCCATTGTGATAAATTATATCCATCTAAAATTACTTTCACTTTATTCTTTTTGTAACCCAAGGTACTCTTCTAGACTTTTTTGTCAGCTGTTTCTATGCTGATCCCAACAAATGAGGGATGTTAAATAACTTTTTAAACAAAATTAGTTGGACTTTTTCCTATGCAAAAACATGCTCTTTCATGTTATATGGAAATACTTGCCAAACAAATAGCAAAGAGAGCTACTGCTAGATAGCAGCATTTATTTAAGGGAGGTGGGGGGGGGGGAGCTACTACTTTAGATACTTAAGATGTTATTTTGTTGGCTCATATATGGTAAGAAGAAATACTCATATAATAATCATTCTTTCTCTGTAATCTCTAATCAGTGTCTGTCTGCCTATACTGTTTTCCTCCCTGTGGTTTTCTATCAAGAAAGTACTGCTATACAACTGAAGTGCAATCTGTTCAATATATTTTACTTGTAGAATCTGGACTAGTGCCTCAGGTTAGAATCCTAATTTTATTGCATATATTTGAGGTATTCTAAGTTTGTGATTAGTCTTCTGTTGTCCTAAAAGGGCCAAAAAAATAAATTTCACCAACAGACTTTGCTTCCTGTACAACTGAAACACAGGGTAGAAAGGACAAATTTTATTTCCCAGCATGCGTTCTAGTTTAAAAGTGCCAGGTACTGGCAGTCAAGTTGAACTATTTCCTTTGAAGAGCTCTAATATATAATAGTCTTTGAGGTTTTTCCTGTTGCTCCTAACAAGTATCATCTGCAGAGTTTATGGAATGAATTCCTTCAGACAAAGCAGTGTGTTGTAGCTTACAAAAATGTGGAATGCATTGCCTAAAAATTGTTTGTTTGAATTGATTAGCTACCATAGAGCATCTAAGAGACAGTACTGTTTTGTTGTGTCTCTCACAAATCCCATATAGTTTGACTATTAAGAAAGCTAAAATTATGGCATGCTGTATTTCAAACCTTTTCTATATAAGTCACAATGATCCACCTATATATACTTCCTATTCTGACAGAACATTCTTCTACCTAATTGATGTCAAATAATCAGCAAAACAACTCTTCACCTTATGTTTGTATGTTGTCCAGAATTTCTTGCTTTACTCTCAGTTTGACTGTGTTACAGACTGGTTTTCAATGAGATGCAGGCAGTGGGGAAAGCATGTGTCCATGTAAGCAATCCATGAAATACCTATTTTGTTTGAGAGCATTTGCAGTGTACACTAACCCACACATGTGCATCTCCCCAAGTTGCAAGTTAGCATGTCAAAATAATATGCATAAGTTCATTTAAAGAAGGAGTAACCATAAGGAATTCTTATATAGCTAAGTGTTGTACCCACAACTTTGTAATGTTTAAATTAGCCACATCCAGAGAGGACAATAACCTTAGAACCTGCACTAGTACCTGCGGTATCTCTTCTCTGTGAAACTTCTGTACTATATTTTCTTGTCTGAACAGAAGACATAATATCCCACAGCAGGAAGCCAAAGGAGAAGGCAAAGATGCACAGTTTACATCCATGAACCTGATCTGAATCTATGACTGCAAAGCAAAGTGCAACAGTGGTGTACAGTCTTGAGTCAAATACTGTAATCAATTAGTCTGTTTTGGGTCAGAATGAGAATTACCTGGATCTAAAATAACATTTTAAATATACAATGAAACAGAACAGAAAGCTTAAACCAAAACAGTTGTTGTATATTGTTACTTAATTGGGATTAAGCATATGAGTATTCTGGTTTTGATGCTACTATTACCTTGTTAAATACATTGCAAAGGAAGCCTAACCCATATACCTGATTCAATGTAGAGTATACCTTGAAGAAAGTAGTACCTGTAGTCATTTAACTGTTGCTTGCACTGAAAGGTAAATCTCATTCTTTCTTCTGAAAGAATGGTGTGTTTGCATACTTGCCGCGGGCCTTTACCTGTAGAAAATTAATCATCTAGTATACCTGGAGAGAAAGTTTGTATTACATCTTTAGTTTCAAAGCCTGTTAGCAATAACCTGAACACCACATAAACCAGAGTCCTCAACCATCTGGATCAGTGGTATATTTGGAATGTTGAAGTGTGTTACAGGTTTCTCATAAAATGGTTGCCCTGCTGTGCATGGCCAATCACAGAACACTCATTTCCCAAAGGCCACTGAAAGAAAAGTAACTTACCCAAGAACGTAAGTACAAGGCAGAGATGTAGAGTAAGCTCCCAAATATAAAACTGCAGGATCAATCCCAAATAAAAATGGCAGTAGAGGGCAGCACTTTGCAGCAAGCCAGCTCCATTTAAAAATACCTTACAAGCTTAAAAATACGTTAAGAAAAACAATGGAGGGCTGGCAGTGCCCATAGGCATGTTGACGCCAGTGGGCCCTCGGAGGTAGACAAATGCTGCAAATGGCCTGCTGCTCTCCTCTGAGATTTTAGGATTCAGCATTCCCTTTTTGCTCAGCTGCCACAGAAAGAAGTGTTCAGGCTTTTGTAGAGGATCTAGAGTGCTTCCTACCTCACTAACTGTCCAAGTTTCCTTTTGCTTACCAAGCCCTATGCAAATGTTCAAGTGACTCACCAAGTTCAATGAGATACACTCCCTATTAGGTGTCTTCAGGTAACCACTGCCTTAGCCTTTGCCCTTACCATCCTGCACTGAATGATGTCCATTTAATTGCAGAAGGCAAATACCAAGAAATACATCACATATCCAATTAAACCAGCACTTCAACATGGAACCATCCAGTGAATTGCTTGTTTTATGCTAAGCTGATGTGGAGGTTATGTACCTGAAGTGTCCTGAGCTCTTAAAAGGTGCTACACATATGCTTACTATTATGAGTTCAATTGAATCTACACCAGCCATCCCTTTGTTCACTGTTCAAAGAATCCTGATGACAGTTGTTGCATTCCAATGTATCTGTGTTGTCCTCCCATGTTTTTCTGCAGCTGTTTTCTGGGCCTTTAAAAAAAAGGTAAAATACAATTGCACTGCCAGCCTACCCAATGTAGTCAGGCAAAATGTTGCTGAGACTAGCTAGGGCACCCAGGCCTAAGCACTGGTTTCCAACTTGCAGATTCTACCAGCTTCTTTCTTTCCATTGAGTGCAGTTGGAAGATTACTGATTATTTAATAGCTTCTCAGTTGCCCCTCAAATATCCTCTCCTAATTACCCCTTATTGTAAGGTTCTCTTCCTCTAGGGGTACTGATTCTCTATCTAAAAATTAAAAGAATAAACAAGAGGTAATTGGTAATAAACCCTCTCTCATCAAAACTGAAATTGACACAGGGTAATTAAGAGGCCTATTCAAAGGGCTATTAACAGGCTATTCATTTAGTATTCCCACTGCTGTGGTCAACAGGAAGCTAGGGAAAGAAGTGGAACGCTTTTAATTAATGTTGATGTAAATATTCAATATGGGTAAACATTATAGAAGGCCTTGAAAAGGGCATTTCTGCATAATAGAACACATGTGAAATAAATTGAGTAGAAGTATCTACAGCCATTATTTTGATATTCATCACTTTTCCCAAGGCAGAACTGTTAATACATAGTCACCTAGATATCTTGTGTCCCTCAAATGTTTGTTTTGGCAGCTGCTCAAATTCAATAAATTCCCAAGAAGCTGAACATATCCCACTGTATATTAAGGAATCCTTCAAAAACATCACCATTGGAGCAGCTGAGCTGGCACGTTGGCTTAGTTGGTTCATAGCCGAAGCCTTTACTGAAACCATCAACGAGCAGTTGTGTTCCGTCGTACCTTACCACGACTGCCTGCAGAAGCAGAACCTAATTCGGGACTAACCCCAAGGAAATCCCTTGCAATATTTTTATGTTTGTCCAGCCTACAGCATGGAGGTGGTATATTGCACAGGCAGCAGGACTTTGCAGCATCCTGGAGAAAACAGAAGGCACATTTGGCTATACTAGAGTCATGTCTATGTCTCTCCCTTGCGCTGTGCTGTGCTTCCAACTAAAAGCCATCCTAAGGACATAGATTTGGGAGAGGGTGCTGCATATAAACTTCCCTGTGCACCTGTGGCAATGTTTCACACTATGGGTGCTGTGCCAAACAGGCTAGCTGCCAGGATGGAAGGATGGAGTTTTTCCTGCAGCTTTCTCATGGCTTCGCAACTGGGCTCAGCAACTGATGTCTTGCATGCTATGGCAAACTCTTTTGCAATTGTGTCCAAGATGGTTCTCAAATTTCCCCATGTTCCCACAGGTCCAAATGGTTGCCTATTCTTGCTCTAGTGGATGAGTTCTGCTGGGAGATTAATGAGGAAGTATGACCCCATTGATTTTTCTGGACCACACAGTAGTATCCAGAGTAACTGAATCATGGTATTCTTCAGGGTCATATTGCCTGGATGGAACAAGGAGGCACCAGATTGTAATGACTTTGGTTAGTATGCAAAAATTGTCCCAGAAGGTTGTGGGAGTTGATCTTCTACACTAGCATTTGGCCTGCAAAGAGCCTCAAGGATTCAATATGACTTTCATATTTTACAACATCAGCACAAAACTGGCAATAATTGTTTGGAAGGGTGAGATGAAATGTCATCTGTGTCATGACTGAGAGCTTTCTACTTCATGTCCATCTTCTGATCCTAGAGAATAGGCAGAGGCTGAGAATCAGAATCTGGAGTCAGTTATGGCATTGATGGGGAAGAACACTGTGAAATGTAATCCAGATAAAATGGATTAGGGTTGGTCTGAGTGGCGTTTCACTGACCTAATAAAGTTGGAACTGCAGGTACATGTTGTGCTTGTGCTCCTTGA